AAAACGCCAAAAAATTTACTTATTTGACATTGAAATATGTTATTTAAAAGATATAAAAGTCTTCATTTCTCAAATTCATTAACCTTAAACTGATATACAATATTATTTAAATTATAATTTGAATCAAAATAAGAATTTTGATCGTATTATAGAATATAAATTCCGTTTAAAACAATAGGAACTGTGTTTATACTAACTCACTTGTCTTTTAAATCTTTTCGGGGATATAACACAAGAATTAGAGAATGCACTTAATGAGAATAAAATTTCGTAGTAATAGAAGTGTTATTAGAAATTATTTATTTCATGGGAACTCGAAATGATATTATAAAGTAACTGAAGTTCTACAATGAAAATTTTTGTTGAATATACAAATATTTATTACAATCTGTAAAGATAATAATTTATTTGAGCATATAGAAAAAAATACCATGAGCATATACTTGCCGAATTATTAGGAACAGACATTGAAACCTATTTTAAATTTCTAAAAAAACCAGTCCATACAACCTACAGATTATCAAATCAAAAGCAGAAGATTTGAACCAAATTTAAGACAAGTTGTGCATTAAATATAAAGTTTTTGATTCCGAAACGCAATATAAACATGATATATAAGTAAATATTAAGAATCATGCCGGTAAAAAAGATTAAGAACCCAATTCGAAATTAAAAATATTAAAAACAAGGATTAAAAATAATTGCTAACTTTATTTAAAAGTATCACATCTTTTTTATACAGTGAAAAGTGTTATATTTGTTTTCATGGGATTAACGCAGTTCTAGGTTTAAAATAAATAACTGCTACTCCGAAACTCCATCATTACCCCCTGCGATACCTACGTCCCAAAACCTTTCATCTAACAGGTGTGACGAACCTAATTAATTTGCGAGAGATTGCCCTGAGTTCGTTAATGTTTGTGCATGAAGTGTGATCGAAGACCGAAGCTCCCCAAGAATATGCAGCATTCCCACTCCCTCTATACTTTCTGAACCCAATAAACTTTTAACTTAGTTATATTTATGAGACTTACATGGAGCCACATGGACAATGCAATGTCATACCAACAGATATAACCTACTTCTTAGATATCCCAGCTTTAAATGGTTTTATTTTTTATATCTTCCAGGCGCTAAGTCTTCTAACCCGAGTGACCAAGGCTAGTTCTCAATGCTTTTTAATGACAATTACCATTATGTCCAGCTTCGGTCTTCCATCTATTTACATAAAAAACTACAAATAAATTTGTAGTAAAAAATTTCGCCATTTCTTAGACCTTCTCCTCTTCATACAAACTCTCATGGAACAACCGAAGATGCAGCATGGTTTTATTCCCACTAAAAATTTAAACAACAATCTTCACATCAGTTTCACATACTCTTTGCCAAGCAGAAAGTTTTTTATGTGGTTATACTCCCTCGTAATTGTTAAAAAAAGAATTTAAAAATAGAATAATTATATAATTGATAAAACCAACTAAATTTATCATTTGGATTTCTATTTATCTATAAAGTAAGAATATAGGTGTTTCTATCCTAAACTATTTTAAAAGCTTATCGGAAAAAAAAGTAGAATTTTTTATTTTATTACTATAGATAATTAGCAAAATGTGTAAATTTTAATTAAAAGTATTAGATTAAAAAATCCATATTTTAATTGAAAGATAAGATATTTTTAGACGTAGTTTATATTCCGAAATGCCAATAAAAACACACTGGATTGATTTTTTACAAATCAAATAATAAATTTATACAGAATCTTTAAAGGTGCTACGAAATGTATTTTTGGAATTTTTTCATTTATCTAAGATAAAAAGCATTTATTTAATCATTGGTTTTTTATAAGAAGAAATTAAAAAACCCTGTATTATATTTCATAATGAGTTTGCCTAGCACTTATACAATGAAAAAATTTTGTAGACTGAAGCAAAAGTATGTTTGGCTTATTTTCTTTTATGTTTTAATATCATTAAAAAACATTAGGTCCTATGAATATATTTATAGCTTTATAAAAGATATGAATTCCGATATTTTATTCTTCCGAGAAAACCGAACAGAAGTATCGTTTGATCAGGAAATATCTACTGATTGTTGGCTTGAAATAATCCATGACTGTGATATAAAGCATGTAAACCAGGAAAATTATTGGTTCAGATATACAAAAGAGAACTTTGTTAGTTTTGAAGAGCTAAATAACATTTTATTTTCAAATGCGACAATCAAGAAAGGAATTGTAGAATGCAGTTATGAATTATCACATATCTTAAAAATGACGAATGATATAACAGATATGCCTATAAATATGAGTAACTATCAGTTTAAATGCATTCTAACAACGTTGAAATATTTGAAGGCAGTAGAAAACAAAAACATGGTAAAGCTTTTTCAGGCTTTAATTTTTTACGACTTCGTTTATCACTTAAATAATGGATCGAAAAGTAAACCTCTATTTTTATACGGTGCGTTTCAAGATGATTTTTTCCAGAATTTTGAATTCGTAATAATGAAAAACTTTCTATTTGCATTTTTAAATATATTTATGATGAATTACAGTTTTGAAAATGGAAATTTAATTTTGTTAGATAAATGTAGAGTAAGTCAGGATATTTCACTACTGAATAAAAATATTCCTTATAAAAATATAGTGATAGCCAATTTCAAAGTAGTTTATATATTCGAAAATATTTTAAGAAATTGCTATATTTTATATAGCTTTCAAGCTTTATTGAATTTTCTTGATATAAAATCTTTGATAGTGGATAATTATATAAATTTAGAAATTTATGAACAGAATTATAATTTCGCAATATTTTCGATCAAAACCTTCAAATCAATTTCGATCTCAAATTTTACAAACCAATCATCATTAGGATTTTTAGACAAGCTGGGATCGGTCATTCGAAATGATCTTGAATTTCTATGCCTCATGAATCTTCAAATATCTAGAAACGCTATTAGTCTATTCTTAAATCAGAAAAGGCTCAAAGGATTAGTATTGCGTAACCTTATACAAATAGAAGATATCGATTTTATTCAAGATTATACAGATTGCAGCAAAAAATTAGAATATATTGAATTTAAAAATGTTATACTCAAAGATACTTGGTGGAATTATTTTTTACAGGTAGCAAATGTTCGTAAAATTATACTTTATTTTTGTACGTTACTTCAACAAAAAAATTTTATGAAAGAATTTGTTAAGATCGTTTCAGACAAAGATGTCTTATATTTTGAAATTAATTTTTCTTTTTCTGGAATATCAGTTGATTTCTTTCCTTACCTATTATATTTCCGATCATTGCGAACACTTAAAATTTATACTTATAAAAATGACTCAAAAAACGATCCTTTTCTATTAGAAGCGATTAAAAATATGAAAATGCTGGACCATCTTGTTTTACAAAAAATATTTATTGGTAGAGTGTTTTATAATTATTTATTTCAAAAGTCTGAAATTAAGGTTCTACACTTAAAAAATATTTTCTTCAATCCAGAAACTCCGTTTTTATATTTTATAAATAATTATAAATCACTAAGAAAATTGGTTTTAACCTACATAGAAGTATCTTCTTTTGGTTTAATCGAAATATTTAAATTAGAAAATTTAATTGACTTAACTCTTGATTTTTGTGTCCTGCATAAAACACTTATGATACCTCTACAACATCTTAATTTTATGTCGAAAAAAATCGTTACTTTGGATTTAAATAATACTAATCTAGAAATTTTTGATGAAATTGATATATTAGGAAACCTATGTTGCCTAGAAAGTTTAAATCTATCCGAATGTATGGCATCGCCAGGCTATCTAGCAAGGTTAAGCTCAAAGTGCAACTTGCGATTAAAAATAATTTCTTATGAATCCGGCATTTTGAATTCCTACGATTTAAACAGATTAAAAAATCTTGAGGTTTTAGAGGAGTTTAATCTTTCCAATTGTATATTTTATGACTGTAAATTTTCAGACTTAGGCAAAGACTGTAAATTTTTTAATACTTTAAAAAAATTAGATTTATGGCTCGTCGATATAGATATAGAAGATCTTAAATACTTTATAAATTTCAAAAACCTTGAGAAATTGTATTTAAAACTATCTGGACTGAATATTTATACAATAAAAAAACATCTAGTTACATTACCGGTTTATTTTCTTTCGATAATAAATACTGATAATCAAACACCAACTAAATACTTATTTAATTACTTATATGAAGAATCGATCATGGCGCTTTCCATTTGAGTTATATCAATAAAAATATTACTGTTTTTACATGTATCAATTTTTTTAAACAAAATTTTATAAAATAGTAGTTTTTTGTTGCAACGACGAAAATAATCAGATTAAAATCAGATGCCAGGTGAACTGAAAAGACAATCCCGCGTTCCATTAAAAAAATGTTAATTTAACCCTAATATATATCTCCATTATATATAGACACTAATGAAAATAATGATGGCAAGAAAAAAATAACCCGAAATTTTGAACCATAAATTGTAAGCGAAATGATCGATATCAAGTCATTGAATCTAATTATAGAAAAGAATCGAATAAAAAATATTCAAATTGAAAGATGAAAGAGTGGAGCAAGGGTAACGAAAAAAACGTGTTTAGTATCAATTTTTATTTATAAAATATTATCCTCTATATAACGACAAAATCAGTTTAAATCTATAATTTTAGTAATTTATAACAGATTCGGATAAGATCTGGAAAAGACATCAACGGATATCAACAAAGAACCGAGTAACTCATAAGTCTACTACGCATAACTCTAATTGTAAATAAGGTGTTACGCAAAAATATTAAAATAAATGAACCCCGAAGTGGGGATAATTTACAGAAATCAAATCACATTCAAAGTATATAAAATGATTTAAATAAAACTCACAAGCCAATAAAACAAGCAATAAGCAGAATAGGATCAAGAATATGAAAGTAAAAAACCCAAAATTATATAAATATTATTATAAATATATAGTACATAAAATAGCCATTATAAGCCTGGCTAGCTCAGTCGGTAGAGCATCAGACTCTTAATCTGAGGGCCGCGGGTTCGAGTCCCGCGTCGGGTATTTTTTATGCCAATTATTATAAGCTATTTTCTTGTTAAAAGAATTTTTTTAATATTATTTCTGAAACGAACATATAATTTACATGATTCTGTCCACATTTTACAATTTATTTTACAATTTAAATATTTCCAAAAAACAAATCAAAATTTATTTTTAAACATTTATTTTCATTTTATTTTTTGCCCAAAACATAAATTATCAACTGTAAATTTTTTTTAAATCAAAATAAATGATTTTGTAAATTTAACGAGAAAACAAATTTTTTAAAAAAAACAGTAAATTTAAATAGATGGTAAAGCCGATGCTCAAATATTTTAAAAATAATCATATAATTTTTATTCATTTTTTGTAAAAAATATTTTTTAATCTTCTATGAATTAATAGACTGACTTGTTTTAATATATACTAAGCTATTAATATCCTATTAAAATAAATTTATTCCTAGCCTTTTATTGAAATTCATATATTTCTAGTAATCAAATATATTTAGTTTAATACAAACATCTATTTGAAAGTACGATATTTAAAAAAATTTCAAACATTTTTTTTCATTACAAAGTATCATCTCATAATAGATTTAACAAAATTATATTTAACTATAAATTCTAAAAATATTTTATGAGTTAGATTTAATATTTAACAATAAATTATTATATTATTAATTTATTAATTTATTTATTTATTTATTTATTTACTGTTTGCTTTTCTTGACACTGTTTTTGATAATTTCTTCATCTTCTACAACCATTTCAACTTTTCCTTTAATCTGCTTACCAGGCTTCAAATACGCCCAACTAAATCCACTGACGGTGACTTCTATCTTTTCTATAAAATAACCATCTGTTACCATAAATCTTACAATTCTTTCTACTTCTCCTCTTTTTAAGTCCTTGCCTCTTCCATAGAAACAATTTTTTTCAAATTCTAAACTTTTTTTATTTTCTGATCCTCTATAGACATCTACAATTTGGTTTACACTTATTTTACGGTTTGTACTTTTTAATAATTGAGATAATTCTCTACATTGCTTTGTTATGTCTTTTTTTATACCTTTGAATCCTCTTTCACAGTTGTCACAAGTGCCTTTACATTCGGTTTTACTAAAATTTTCATTAAAATGAAAAAGAAGCAATTCTCTTCTACAATCTGTAGAATTTTCACAATATTGAATTACATAACGAAGGTCATCTTTTTGCCTTTGTTTTTGATCATAGCCTGCATCGTTTCTATCAATCATAAATTCTATTTTCTTTTTGTCACCATAATTGTAAAACAGAACACAAACACTTTCTAAAGAATCTCTACCAGCACGACCTGTTTCTTGGTAATATCCTTCTAATGATTTTGGAAGGGAATAATGAATGACAAATCTTACATCTTTTTTATCTATTCCCATCCCAAATGCAATTGTCGCTATTATAATATTATATTCTGAATTATTCCATCCATTTTGTACAGCATTACGCTCTTTAGTACTCAATCCTGCGTGGTAAAAATGTGTTTTTAAATTATATTTTGTATTCAGTCTTTCACTCATCATTTCACATTCTTTTTTTGAAGTACAATAAATTATTCCACAAGAATCAGGAAAATATGTATTTATAAACGAAACTATGTCTATATCTACAGTTTTGGTTTTTTTATGAACATAATATCTCAAATTTTTTCTATTAAAACTCATTCTAAATGTATTACAATTTTTTAAATCCAAGCTTTTTATTATATCGTTTTCAACTTTTCTAGTAGCAGTTGCTGTCAGTGCCATGATAGGAACATAAGGAAATAATTTTTTCAAGCACGAAAGATCTTTATAGTCTGGTCTAAAGTCATATCCCCATTGAGATACACAATGTGCTTCATCAATAACGAAACGTGAAAGTAGTTTTTTTGAAATTAAAAAATCCATCAATGATTTAAATTGCGCACTTTTTGCTATCAATTCTGGTGTAACATAAAGTAATTTGGAAACGAGCGGTATTTTGTACAAAACATCATAAATTAATTTTTTTTCACTCAAAGATATTGAAGAGTTCAAAGCCAAAGCAGGAATATCTTTAACCAATAAATTTCTAACTTGATCAGTTATTAAAGATAATAATGGACTTACAACAACTGTCAATCCATCAGAAAGTAATGCGGGGAGTTGATAGCAAAGACTTTTCCCACCACCAGTTGGCATCAAAACAAAAACATCTTTTTTTGCCAAAGTAGTTTCAATTATTTTTTCTTGGTTTTCTCTGAAATTCTGCAATTTAAAAATGTGTCTTAAAACAGTATAAGCAGGTGATATTGGTTTGTCTTCTATTTTTTGATTTTTCTCTTCAGAATCAAAAATATTTTCTAATTCGATTTCATTGTCCAAATTGGAAACAAATAAATCATCCGTGGCGGTATTTCCCATTATATTTTTCGATTTTATATTTTCATTTATTTCACAATCATAATCATTGTTTATTTCTTCTACTTCACGATCTTCTATTTTACTTTTTGATTTTATATTTTCAGTTATTTCAAAGTCATAATTATTGTTTATTTCTTCTACTTCACGATCATCTATTTTACTTTTTGATTTTATATTTTCAGTTATTTCAAAGTCATAATTATTGTTTATTTCTTCTACTTCACGATCCTCCATTTTACTTTTTGATTTTATATTTTCAGTTATTTCAAAGTCATAATTATTGTTTATTTCTTCTACTTCACGATCATCTATTTTACTTTTTGATTTTATATTGTCTAGTCTATGTATTTGATTATTATTTCCTCTTTCTAGATCATTTATTTTTTTAGAAATTTTTGGTTTTACTGTTCTATGAGATACAATTTCTATTTCATCGCAATTTTCATTAGACGTATTTGCTTCTAAAATATCTATAAATCTATCACTAGATGGAAGGCTACTGGTTATTTGGCCTTCATGTATATCCATATTACCTACGGAACTAGATTCTTGAAAATCAACAGTTCTTTCTTTAACGATTACAATATCTTTTTCATCCATTTCCTCGCATAAATAATTATTTTTATTTAAAAAAGAAATTTCACTTACGTCAGAAGAAACAGAAATATTTTTTAAATCCAAAGAAACTTCTTTTTCTTTATTTTCATTTTCCTCATACGCCTTTAAGACTACCTTAGTAAAAATATAGTCATCATCTTCTGAACTTTGTAATTTTACCATCCCATACCAATATTTTTTACCGGTTTAAATATATTTTTTTAAAAAAACGATTAAAATATATTTTCGTTATGAAAATTTCATATTTTATATTTTATATTTTTTTTAAAAAATTCGTTTGAATGACTTTACACAGTTTAGAAAGTTTAAATATCATCTTTTTAATCTCGTATTTGTTAAAAGATTTTAAAGAAATTTTAAACTTTATATAATTTAAAAGAATATAATCCAAATTTTTTTTCGTTATAATCTGACTGATTCTAAAAAATAGTTAAGGTAAATTTATTTGTTTAGTAAGAAAATACTTTTATCTGTTTATAAAAAGTAATCGTTGGTAAGATAACTTGCAAGTAGAGACTTAAAGAATGTTTAAAAAGTATGTAAGAAAATACCTTTATCTGTTTATAAAAGTAATCGTTGGTAAGATAAGTTGCAAGTAGAGACTTAAAGAATGTTTAAAAAGTATGTAAGAATTATATATTGCATCTGAAGTATGTGTGGGTTTATTCAAAGTGTTGTTATAAAAACAATTATATGATTAAAAAATTATTCAGAAATCAAATGATAAGAGTATCAATATTACGAAAAAAACTCGAGGAAAAATTACATTTTAAAAGCCAATTAAAAGAAATCAGACAATTAGTTGACAAAAAATTTGTTTAATAAGTTTCGGTAAAGACAAGGTAAGTTTGAACGAAAATAAATTGTAATAGAATAATATCCTAAGAATTTCATTTCATCAAGAAAGATATCACAAATAGTAGTTAAAGTCAAAATATAAAAACATTGAAAATATTCCATGTTGCTCGAGTGTTTTTCAAACCTATGATCGATATATAGTATGTTCTGGATATTTGCTTTATAATACTGTTAAAGATATCGGATTAAAGCATAACCTTAAAATTATTTAAAGTTAAAAAAATTGTGATATTTGAGGCAAATTTTTCTAAAAAATATTCGAGGGTAAGGATTACATGATCTGTGTTGATATGTGTATAAATATTAGAAAAAAAGAATTTTTATATTACAAATATTGTTTTTAGCATTTATATGAAAATATTAAACTTATTATTTAAATGAAATACACGTAAATAGCTTATGAGAGGTGAAATGATTATTCATTCTACGAAATTATTTTAACAGAATTGAAAAACAAAGTTTTTTTGTTTGAAAAATAAGTTTTGTGAATTTTTACTCTCTTAAAGATAAATAAAATTATCTGTTTAAAAGTCTCAATGCAATTCATTATTTCGAAATAATTTAAATATTTTACATTCTCTATAGAATATTTAACCATAAAGTTAGTGAATAGGGAAGTTTTTTATATTTTTAAAAAATAAGAGACGAAATACAATATTAATGATTAAAGTTAGATAGAGCATTTGTGAACATGTTTTAGAAGTTATGTTAATGAGGTTGAGCGATTATGATATTGAAGATTCGGGGGACATGAATATACCCCGATATTATATTCAAAGAATTTTTAATAATATAAATACTAATATTATTTAAAATATCTGAACAATTAAGATAATTATTTTAAATGAAATAGTTTGAAAAATGCCGAGGTACGGTGAAAAAAAGAACTTTTGGTTTAAAAAGAGTCAAATATCAGAACTAAGAATAAAATCAAAACTTTTAAAACGATAATAAATTAGAGACAAAAAAAATTACAGAAATTTTATTTAGAAATTCGAATATATTATTTTAAATTACCTCCGGGGTTTCTTATAATATAAATTTCTCCATCATATTTTTGTTTTAAACTTACCAAATCTTTTTGAGATAAAAATAAAAGCTTAAAAAAATATTCGTATGCATT